GCTATCCCAAAGCCAGTGACAGCCTGAAGGCGCCACAGAAGGAGCCGCTGAGAAGGCCCACCCTCCTTCCCTTACGTTGTGCAGCCAGTTGTCAACTGATTGAAGGAAATAGCTTTTTCTTCCTCTTGTTGTCCCTCTAAAACTACTAATACACAGGAGACTGGACCCGTGATGGGAGGCTTCCCAAATACAGTGGGTTGGTTGGAGCTGAGCCCCAAACTCTAATGGAATAAAGGTCAACAGTCTGTCCTTGAAAGCACTGCTAGCCGAGAATCACCATTGGTGCAACATGGCTGAAGCCTGATGCATTCAGCCAGCGGGCACTGACTGCCTGCTGTGCCAGGCGCTGAAGTGAGAACAAGCACATAGTTGTGCAACTGTTTACACTCTCCACCTCAGCCCTGGTGCTGAAACAGAGAACCTGTCCTGACTTGAACGGAGCCAGAGGGACAACACAGCCATTTCCCACACAGATGGCCCAGTGCCCACAGCCAAAGGGAGACATCTCACGCAGGTCTCCAACTCTCGGTCTTGGCGTGGCCTGTGACAGAGAAACCAGAGACAGGCAGAGGTGAGTCCTCACAGGGAACATTCTAGAACCTGACCCACAGGGAGCCCCAGCGCAGCCTGCAGACTCCCTCTGTTCATCACCTGCAGGAAACAGAGAGGTGGAAGCTCTCCTCACCCAGATGAGAAGCTCCTCTCTTTACTTGGATGGCTGGGCTGGAAACGAGCTCTTAGGGAACAAAGAAGCGAAGGAGAGGGTGTCGGGAGGTAGTGCCGGCGGGCGTGCAGCTCAGGAGTGTGATGGGGGCGGGGGGTGCACAAGCTGACTGAGCATTATACACACAGAGCTTGCATATGTCAGCAAGTGTGTCTCCGACTCCAAGGAGGTCTAAAATGCTTCCGATGCACATTATTATATATAAAATAGATAAACAACAAAGACCTACTCTATAGCGCAGGGAACTATATTCAATTTCTTCTAATAACATATATAATGTAGAAGAATCTGAAAAATATATCTATCTGCATGTATACATATAACTGAATCACTTTGTTGTTCACCTGACACTAACATTGTAAATTAACTACACTTCAATAAAAAATAAAATTTAAAAAGAGAAGAAACTTACCTGAGATATCATTTTATAGTGCAATAGTAAAAAACAATAAAATGCTTCCTAAAGGACCACCTGCCTGGCACCCGGGCCTGTGTGATTTGCAAAGCCCAATGTGCCAGACATGGTACTCAACACTTGACCCACATTATCCATCACTGCTTTGAGTAAGAACTGTCACTACCCCACTTGACAGATGAGAAGACTGAGTCTCAGGGAGATTAGGTAACTTGCCAAAGATCCTTGCCTAGTGAGTTAGAGGAGCAAGATTGAAACCTAGGTTGGAATGTTTCCAACATTGCACCCTTAATGATCCCAGAACATCCCAGGCAAGCCTGGAGCAGCTGAGGTCTGGGCTCCAGGCTGGGGACTCACGGTGCAGTGGGAGTCGGCGGTGGGCAGAGCCCTTCTGGAGTTTGCAGAAGCAGGAGATGTGTTACCCTGGTCACACTCGGAATGCAGGATACACCCTTGCCGCAGGAGTTCTAGTTCAGGAACGCTCTGAGGCCAGCCAGCACCCCTCCCCTCCGCCCCCGCCTCAGCTGGACCAGGGGACTGAGCTATCCCTGGGGACAGTGAGGATGCCAGCTGACCAGAATTCTAACGGGGAGACATGGACAAGAGTAAAGCCTTTAAAGAAAAATACCATATGATATCACTTCTATGTGGAATCTTAAAAAAAAAAAAAAGACAAAAGAACTTATTTACAAAACAGAAACAAGACTCACAGACACAGAAAACAACCTTTGCCAGAAGGGTGGGAAGGGATAAATTGGGATTTGAGATTTGCAGATACTAACTAATATACACAAAATAGATAAGCAAGTTCATACTGTATAGCACAGGGACTATATTCAATATCTTGTAGTAACTTATGGTGAAAAAGAATATGGAAACGATTATGTGAATGACTGAAGCATTATGCTGTGCACCAGAAATTGACACAACATTGTAAACTGACTATGCTTCAATAAAAATAAATGTATACAAGAAAAATATGAACAAAATAGAAAAGAGTAAAGACTTTGACTACAGGAGTCAAGAGTCAGCTTGGCCAAAGATGGGACTGTTTGAGGATCAAAAAGAACAACGGAACACATCAAATATATTGAAATCTATGTGTCCATAATGATATTTTTTTAATTCATTAGTCACCTTCAAAGGATAGAAAAGACTCTCCATAGCATTTCAAACACTAGTAAGCAAAGAAAAGATCTGAGCATTTCCTAAATGAACTGTATTCAGGGAAACAAATTAAATACTGCAAGAAAACTCAACGCCACCAAACAACACTTAAAAGGCAGCCATACCTGTGTATGCAAATGAGTAGAAAATTATCTGGAAGGGCGCACACCAAGCCATATACAGGAGGAAAAATCTACAATGGGGAGGATGCTGGAAGGGGACGTTAGCCTTCATGCTAACAGTTTTCATTTGGGTTTTGGTTTCGTTCTGTTTTTAACAAGAAAAATATATTCACGCATTTCTTGTGGAATTAAAGACATTAATTTTTTTTTTTTAAAAGTAAAGGCTCTAGAGTCAGACTCACCTACGTTCAAATCATCTCTCTGCCTCTTGGGTAACTCACTTTACCGAAGTATCAGTGTCTTCACGTATAAACTTGGGAGTAGTTATTCCTACTTCACAGGGTTGTTGCAAAGATTAAATAAAAGCCTTTCTCACACTGCAAGCGGCAGTGAGCACTCAGGAAGCACTGCTGTATTGAGTCAGGAGAAAGAAGAAACCTGTGGAAGGAGAATAAAGGGATGGGGGGAAGAATAGAGGGGCCGGTGCTGTTTGGAGCTGGGGGGACAAGAACACCTTCTGAGAGGCCATCATTAAAAAGTCCACGAACAAGAAATGCTGGAGAGGGTGTGAAGAAAAGGGAATCCTCCTCCGCTATTGGTGGGAATGTAATTTGGTGCAGCCACTATGGAAAACGTTATGCAGATTCTTTAA